TTGTAACACCATGTCGGTTGGATATGGAGTTACACAAGTAGATAGTGGCTCTGTTAAGCAGGTGAAGAAGCTTTGTTACAGTAACCAAGTTTTTTTACATGATGGATCAATTTCATCTCTAAGCTCAAAAGTGGCCGTTTGCTTTGCTCGACTCTTGTCAAGAATTTATAGGTGAAATTGAAAATCATTGGAAAGTGGTCATAGTGATGGGAGTAAATACTTACGTAAAACGGCAAAGCATGTCTCATTCGTGGGGGTGCTGGACTCCAAAAGAGGTATGGTGCAAATCATGCAAAAAGTTCCTTCACCAACTTTGTCATTTAAGACAATCTTGGCCCCATCAATCAACGGAGGTGCCGGGTGATAAAAGATCTGGCTAAAACTCCACTTCACTGGTAAATCATCCTCATCAGGCAATTCGGTGCCACTAACTCGACACGTTATAACTTCTTCCGACTCCTGAGTGGTCAGTAGGAATACTTCCCTAGCACCTTCTATTTGAACTTTAACTGCCTTGATATCTGCACAAATAAAATTTGTTATTTTAAGGTCACTTACATTCTTACAATAAAGAAACCTCAATCCTAGTCCAACCTAAATGCACAGCGCTAGTTTTGAAATGCAACTTAGTAAATGTCCATAGCACATTGAAAATATTGTGCACCTATATAATAGATGGATGTTTCCGCATTTTTGTGTTGTGCGTTACTTGAACAGCAAAACTAGGCACTGATACGCAAAGTTTGCTCATTGACAAAGACTATTTTAGTTTGTGGTCGTAATTACCAATCGTTGGTATCATTTCCTTGTGTGAAAACACCCAGTCGGAATGATGGAAGACATCGATTTCAACACCAGTGTTGGTAGGTTTCTCCAAATTTGTAAGACCCTCCATTTCCATCCAGTTCTCATCGAAGAATGTGTAGCGAGAATTAACTTCATCATTACCGTTATAGAAGTAAGCTTTGGGATATATTGACTTCAATTTTGGAACGGATGGTTTCTGTCCTGCAGTTAAAGTTTTGAATGGACCACCTTTTTAGCAAATCAGGCAATAATTAATTTTGAGAATAGCTGCAGTAGAAGCGTATTTGAAAAAGGCAGCAATGGACATTCCATTTCCAGACCGTTAAAAAACACCCTTTAGTGGAAACTATCGTCTAAATTGTGGCACCTCTAATTCCGTTAAAAGCATATTTCCAAATTGTCAACTTAATTTTGCTTTTGATCATCAAATTCCCATCCAAATGAAATTGTGTAGAGGAAAAGTAGACATTTGCAGACTACGTGAGGCGAACGTCGGAAAAATAGAAATGGCAAGCAGCAAGAGAGGGGGGAAGAGCGCGATCTTAGTTTATGCAATTGTAGTGCTGTAGGCAGGCGGAAACTAGCATCACGTATATCTCTTTACGGCCTTTGTTGTCAGTTGACGGGGTAAGATCAAATCCCTCTGTTGTTATCAGTCTAAATTTCAGACCATGTAGATGATTCCTCTACTGTTAATCTGGGAGCGGTTCACTGTTTCCAAAAGCTGACTTCTGATGTTGCTGACTGTCAATTCTGCTGCTTGTAAGTCAAATCAGGTAAGCTTAAGGCGCATACAGGAAGTCTCATGGTGTTGCAGATGAAACACACTAGTGTTAGGTGCAAATGCCGGCTCGAACCAAGTTAATGCCGAAAATCAGAGCCATTCTTACAATTAGCTGATTAAATTAATCTTTTATGTCGAACCAGGCTTTATGAGCTGCTACCCATCGTTACTTTAGTGCCAGCAGAATATGCGATGGGACCAAACATGGAAAGTTGTAGAAGAATAGGACTCGTTGCCTTAAATTGGAGGCTTTATCTGCAGAACTGGTGACCATTTGAAAAGCGGGTGAAAGAACATCTATCTAATCACACTGAGGCCGGGGAAGATATGTTCATCGTACAGCATACCATTTTTCCACAATACAAATTTGTATCCCTTTCCTGACCTATCTCCCACAATTTTAAGGTTTCTCCGCCAGCGGTTAGTACTATGTAGATCAAGCCTTACCATACACAATAAAGTCTCTTCTGCTCAACTCTCCTTGGTGCGATGAAGTTACTAGGATGCAGCGAACTGAGTGGAGTTGCGGTGATTCATTCTTTCCATCTGTGCTAAAATTCAATGTGGTGCCAGTCACCATGACTGTCACTACACCGTCCACATGCATCGTCATCATTGTTTGGCCATACGCTTGTAGCAACTGCGGTCGAGTTGTGGTACAAGTAAATTTGTAGTTTCCAGGCTTAAAAATTTTCTCAACCGCGGGTTCAATTGTCGCATTTAATTTATATAGGGCTAAAAACAGATAAGAATCACTTTTATGAAAGAAATGACTGCTTATTTTACAACAATCGCCTACTCACGGTAAATTGTAAATCTGATGGGTATATCCACAGGATCTCCATTCATGACTCTCTCACAGTAGAGCTTGGTCGGAAAAGAGTCGATGAAATAGTTACGAAGAGTGACGTGTCCAGTCTCAGTGGCCAGATTAATCATCTCCTTAAAGAAGCAACGATAAACTGGTATCTGTAGTTCTTTACTATCGTTCATAAAAACCCGCAGGTCCCGCTGAATCTCTGGAATGATCACTTTGTGGGGAGGTTCGATTATCTCAGGGTATTTTAAAGCGCCTGTAAATTAAAAATGCATATTATTTAGCCGTTCTATCTGATCAGGTCTGACTAGCACATTTCGTTCGGTAAATAGTATTATTTTGTGAAATTATTAGTCAACATATGAAATGGACAAATGGTACAAATATTTCGTCCACATTCAGCTAAGGAAAACGCGTAATTTGAAAGGCATGCCTAAATAAATCGTTACATCACCCTCAAAGATACATTTAGAAGATCAGCCCGTCTTTAAAAACTCACAAACTATCAAAATCTGCGAGAGAAATCCCCCTCATCTCAGCCTCTGAACACAGCACAGTAGAACGATGGCAGTGGGCACCGGGAAGAGATGAAGGCCACAGATCACAGAACAGGATGTAATGCTTTGCTCATGTGACCACCTGTCATTTGGCGGTCTCTTTAAGATTTGTTAGGCTCTTTTACGTGTGAACTGGCCTCCAAGCATGCTCAGGCCTTACTGCCTTGTTTCCCCTAGAATACATGTATCCAGCTCCAAATTACTGCTTCTTACTACACAGTGCGAAGTGATTCAATGTGCCTCTCCTCACCCCACCAGAGTCCGTGTAATATGTTCAACCTTACCACCGCATGACACATCGCGAGCATGCAAGCCTGTAAATATCACCACCACGTAGGCCGTGGGTTTAAAATCGGTTGCTTAATCTCAAACGTGCTTTTTTTTCAAATAGTCGGCTGCGTGACAGTGAAATTAGTGATACAAACATCTGCTTTACCGGTCTTATCATATAATACTGCAAAATAAATTAACAACACATCTCAACACAATTCTTAATTTACGATAACGACTCATAATCAGCGAACTTCGATGCCCACCTTAAATTGCGAAGATCATTGAGATGTTAAAACAAAGTATAAAAGCTCTTTTAGAGGGTCGCCCTGGGGCACTACGGTGAAGTCCGTGTAGAACATCTTGGTGGGATAAGAAAAGAAGCACAAAGTGGTGGAAGTT